ATTATTATATTATTATTATTATTATTATTATTATTATTATTATTATTATTATTATTATTATTATTATTATTACTATTATCATTATTATTATCATCATCATCATTATTCTTATTGTTATTATTATTGCTATTATTATTGTTATTATTATTATTATTACTATTATTATTATTATCATTATTAGTATTATTATCATTATTATTATTATTATTATTATTATTATTATTATTATTAGTATTATTATTATTAGTATTATTATCAATATCATTACCATTTCTCTTATCATCATGATTACTGTTATTACTATTTTTATTATGAGCTTAAGTATTATCATTATGATTATTACCATTATTATTATCAGTATCATTATTATTATTATTATTATTATTATTATTATTATTATTATTATTATTATTATTATTATTATCATTATTATTATTGTTTTTATTATTATTATTATTATCCTTAATATTATCATTATTATTGCCATCATTAATATTATTGTTGTTAATGTTATTAGTAGTAATAGTGGTAGTAGTAGTATTACCACTACCAATATTATTATCATTATTACCGTTATTAAAATTTTCAGTTATTAGTATTATTATTATCATTATTAATTTCCTTATTATTATAATTATCATTTTCCTGATTATTATCATTATTATTCTGAGGATCATCATGACCATGAAGAAATAATGCTAATAAAGGATAATGATAGTAATGATGATGATGATTATGATAACGATGATAATAACAATAGTAATAATGATGATGATAATAATAATGATAATAATAATAATAATAATAATAATAATAATAATGATAATAGTAATGATAATAATGATAACAATAATAATAATAATAATAATAATAATAATAATAATAATAATAATAATAATAATAATGATAATAATGATAATAATAATAATGATAATAATAATAATTATTATAATAATAATAATAATGATAATGATAATGATAATAATAATAATAATAATGATAATAATAATGATAATAATAATAATAATAATAATTATTATTATTATTATTATTATCATCATTATCATTATTATCATTATTATTATTATTATTATTATTATTAATGATAACATCATTATGGTTATTATCATAATTATCATAATTACTACTAGTACTATTATTCTTATTATTATTACTATTATCATTATCATTACTATTATCGTTATTGTTATTAATATCCTTATTATAATTATCATGACCATCTTTATAATTATCATTATTAATGTAGTAATTATTATTATTGTTATCTGATAATTATTTTCTTCGCACTGTTATTATTATTACTATCATTAATCTTATCATGATTAACTTTGTCATTATTATTACTATCGTAATATTGCTATTAATAATAAGCATTTTAACTTCTATTTTTCTTATTGTTATAATCGATATTATCATTAAGTTAATTGTTATTTTTATTTTCACTATTATCATTATTACTATGATTACTATTTTGATATGTTTTTATGATGTCTATGATATTTAGTTTATTATTGTTGTTATTACAGTTGTTATTGCTTTATTGTCTTCATTATTATTATTATGATTACTATTATTATTATTATTATTATTATCATCATCATTATTATTATGATTACTATTATTATTATTATTATTATCATCATTATTATTGCTAACTATTTTTATTATTATTATTATTATTATTATTATTATTAGTGTTATTATTATTACTATTATCATTATTATTATTATTATTATTATTATTATTATTATTATTATTATTATTATTATTATTATTATTATTATTGTTGTTGTTGCTATCATTCTTGTTGTTTGTATTATTTGTATTATCATGATTGTTATTAATCTTATTATTCTTTTATCATTATCCTTATTATCATTACTTTTATTATTACCATTATCATTTCATATTATGTTTTCTTTTCTATTATGAATATGATATATTTTATCATTATCATTATAATTATGATCAGTATTATGTTATTATTATTATTATTATTATGATTGTTATCATTATCATAGCTATTGTTATTATTTTTATTATTTCTGTTATTGTTATTGTTAATGATATTATCGTTTCGTTATTGCTATCATAATTGTCATTATCATTAGTATTACTATTGTTTTTATTATCGTCATTATTATTGTTTTTGTTATTATTATTACTATTACTACTACTGCTATTATTATCATTATCATTATTATTATTATTATTATTATTATTATTATTATTATTATTATTATTATTATTATTATTATTATTATTATTATTATCATTGTTATTATTATTACTATTATTATTATTATTATTATTATTATTATTATTATTATCATCGTTCTTATCATCATCATAATCATTATCACATCATTAGATCTCGAAGTTTTAGGTACTCTAGAATACTAAACAGACAGGCAAAAAGCGAAAATATATTAAAATGCAAAGATATGTTTTTTTTCCAACAGTTATGAAAGGAACATT